TTTACACAATGCTTCGCAACGCCCCTTCGGCGCTTTCTTCGATGCGTATTCCTTAATAGGCCGAACTTTCTTCTGACCGACTTTTTTCTTAATAATCACTTACCATGAGCTGGAGCTATTTTCGCCACACATCTCAGTGGCATGATGCTTCTCCCTGCTCACGTAATTACTAACTTGAAGTTCTATTCTGTTCTGAACCACACTTAGATACCCCAATAGAATTTACCGATTTCCGTACACTTTAACTCGATAAGACCCTTTCCTTTAAAGACAAGGGAATACCATTTTCATCCTGTCAAGCGGAGATGAAATTTTCGACCAACGGAATCGATCCTAGAGGTCGTTCATAGCCATTTCCTGATTCCTCATAGTCGAATACCTATTCCATACCATTTCATCCTATCAGGTTGAGCCAAGTAAGGCTCGCTAGCCCGCTGATTCTCCCATATCGTTTTCAGTCACTGAAGCTGAGATGAAAGTTTTGACCAATAGAATCAATCACAGAGGCCACTCACACTCATTTTCTGATCCTCCGTAGTCGATTGTCTACTCCATATCATTTGCAGCCATTCAAGTGGAAAGGATGTTTTCGACTAACAGGATTCACCCTAGAGGTCGCTCAGACTCATTTTTCAATTCCCCATAGTCGACTACCCACTCCATATCATTTTCAGCCAACGAAGCTGAGATAAACATTTCAAGCCATAGAACCGAGCATACAGGTCGCTCATACTCACTTTCTCATTTCCCATAGTGGACTACCTACTCCTGATCATTTTCATTCAACAAAGCTGAGATATACATTTCGACCAATTGAATGGATCGTAGAGGTCCTCAGAGTCATTTTCTGATTAGCTGAGCTCTTAGTTTTGAAAGAAAGCATACTCTATCGCTTTTCCTTAATCTCGATGACGTTACTGTCATCGTATCGAACTGCATGGGACATTGTGTAGAAATATTTTGAAGGACAAGAGTTCCTGTATATTTAGTTTACATTTCTATATATAAATGTAATAGAAATCTTAGAATAGTTTCCATGTTAACACAGGTTTTAACTTTTATTCATGATGGTACCAAAAAGCAGAAGTTTTGTGATGAGCGAATTGCCTCTCTAAAGAGTGTAGTTTGTAGTTAATTTCACCATGTTTTATTCGGCTTTCTCTTAGAATGAATAGAACATTGATAAGTAAAAAGGGCATCATTTAAAAAGTGACTTTTTAAAATAAATTCATTATAGAAGTTTCCTTTTACATGAACTCATAAGATAAATTTCTTTGTTTTGTAAGGTAAAAAGTTTTTATAAAATGGCCATAAAAACATTGCCAAAAACAATTCAACATGTGAAATCCTTGATTTCAACTGCGGAAAATCCATTAAACAAATAAATTTAGACAAATTTGAAACAAGTGCTCCCGAGCAGTTTTTCTCTGATGGATTACTGAATCTCAACTTTCCACTATCTGTTCAGAGAAACAGCATTCTCGGTTTGTTTTTTGAATAATTTTGAAAAATAAAAAACAGAGACCTGTAGTTTCACCATTTTGTAGCAGCAAAGTGGATTGTTATAATCTATTGAAAAAACAACTGTCTAAAAGTAGTAATCAATGTAGAGTATTGTCGATTTCTGCCTATAAGTAAATATTCAATAGCCTTTTCTTGAGAAAACATACAAAAGATACACAAAAAAGAAATAAAAATGTGGATGTATCTGTGCGACGAAAAAATGTAATTCATCTTGGATTTTAATACCTTCTTTTAAACTAGTACATCTGCGATTGTCGATGGATAACAGCTGGCAATGGGCCATATTCAAATCCTGATGAGGGCGCTCTGTACCGGCCGACAAACAGCTTGAAAGACACAGCTTGCAGCTTGCGGTATCACTGCGTGTATTCTAAAGACAGAACGCAGAAATACAGTGCCTGTATGTAGCGACTTCATCAGGGTGTGAATATTGTTCATTGATATCATCCTAAAAAATGAAAACTGAAGTACAATTGTTCTTCAAAGTTGGGTAAATAGAATGCGTTACTTTCTCTGCTTACACTACTCCGATTGTTCAGGCGCCTTTTTCACAGATTTTATTGGTATACAATATCATTCGAAACAACATCTGGGCAGGTTCTCATATCAATCAAATCAATTTACGATCTGGTCATTACACGTAATGAAATATTCGGTTTGGAAAAACCGTGTTCTTGACAAGCAGTACAATGTTTTATAAAACTTTGAACGACGACATGTGGAATACAGCAAGTTTCAGACTGTAAGAAAATACTTGAGACCAGGTGCCTGTGTCGTCTCGATGTGAGAAAAAGACAGTTGAGAGTCATATATCTCATTGATATCATCCTGAAAAAATCAAAAGTGACTTATTCCCTTGACTGTAAAGGAAAGAGTCTTATGGAGTTAAAATGCCTGTATGTATGTTTGTATGTCCGCAGACTTGATACTAGCGACAGACAAACTAGTAGAGCAAAAGTTGTTTGGCTGATAATGATATGGAGTAGGTGGTCGAGTATGGGGAATCAGAAAGTGAGTATGAGCGTCCTCTACGGTGATTCCCACATTATTATCCACACGAATGGATGAACATGATGATGATTCCTAACATTATTTCCACATGAATGGATGAAAATGATATGGAGGGGGTAGTCTAGTATGTGGAACCAGAGAATGAGTGTGTGCAACATCTACATGGATTCTAGTGGTCGAAAACGTCGGCGAATTTATTGATGATTGATCGTGCGTGTAGGAAATTTGCTTTAGAGTGTACGTGAACAGGAAGGAGCATTGTTTTATTCTTTGGAAACAGTATTTCGAAAATGTTGTCTAATTCTCGTAACAAAAACAGCATCTATTCTTTTTCATTTTTCTCGTCGACCATAATAACTAGAGCAAATTTGAAAACGGTTTGTACAGCTGAAAGAATTTTCAATCTGATGAGGTATACGCTCTATCTTCCTGTCTATTTTAAAACTTTTCAGGATTCGGCATTGGCATCAGAGACCGAAATGGGTCAACCAAACGCCACCCGAACGTAAGATGACTCGACACGACCCGAATCAATATCTTATACGTTGGTCCGAAACCCGACCCGTTTCGGTCCCTGATTGGCATATGAATCTAGTTCTAGTCTCGGTGGACAGAATTTTAGAAAAGTGTTTGTAAACAGAGTTTTTTTGATAAAACCAGAGTCAAAATATGATTTTATTTAAATTCAAAGTACGTATTCTGAAAACCTACTTTACAGGCTACAAGAAACGCTAAAAAACTTTTAGAACTAGTTTAAATAAATCAGAAAAAAAATTTCATTGGAGCTTTGGTTCCGTGGAAGGTTTTCTAGAGATCCGCTAAAAATCCTATGAATAAACTGAAAACCTTATGTGTTTTTTCTACTCGATCTACATTCTATGATCTCTGTTAATCATTTTCTGAAAGTCTTTTTGGACAAGAAATGAGTGAAATATACGGTTTTTGATTTGTGACGGTAACAGACGAAGAACCGACTTTTCATCCAAGTAGAGTTTGTGGTTGAGTGGGGAATGAAAAACATCGCCACGATGATAAGCGAGGTCGATTACCTATAATCCACACGTATCTCCGGAATTAAAGGAGATGTACACCTGGACCTTGCGTAGTTCTGAAGAGAAATATTTTGGCTACCGACTGGCATTATTTGTGTCTGGATGTCATAGTATTGTTTTGAAGCCTTAAGCTTTCGGAGTTTGTCTCGAATGGTACACCTGATCGGGCGCCCTGATTTTTTCATAGGTTTATGTTCCAGAGTGTCTAGTTTTAGAATGTGAAAACCGCAGGTCTCTAGCTCTCTTCATTGAAAAATTATAAGCATTTTGCCGGAGCTCATTCTTTTGAAATTTCGATAATAGCTTTCACATCCGAAGTTTACTGTTGTTCAGATTTATCCTTTACCAATCCCTCAGCACTTCCTGCATTGCTCGACGCTGTGCTCGCTGTATCACTCCCTCCAATATTCGATAAATCGCCACTTGCACACCCTCAGGTCAAAAACTGCTGATCAATTTTCGATGGTGGTAGAAGATGATTTTTAGTCTTTGTGGTTGATAAAAGGCTTTTCTACAAAGGGGATCAAGACACATTATTTTCCGCACAATATCATCGAAAAATTAAAGTAAGAGCGATATATTCGTTTTTCCATCAAATAGTTATATTGTTCATTGGGCTTCCCTCATCACTACGTCATAACATAAAATTTAATACAACTATCTTTTTCCACACAAAAAGCACTAAATGATCGATTACGTTATCTTTACTAATGTGTTCATATTTTCACTTCGAAGAATACTCTTATTAGGACCGTCTTTGATATTCAAAATCATAGATCATAATTACAATCATGAGAATTATTGCACGTTAAATTTGTATTCACTCTAATTTTCAATTCTGCGGTGAGTGCTTTGTCTTATGTGAAATCTCACATGAGCGTTACTAAGCTAAAGGTTTGTTGAACTGGAAGCGTAATACATAAGTGAAAAGTCTATTGAAGTAGAGATGTACTATCCGAGCCGTACCCAACCCGCAGGCTGGGTACGAATACGAAGTTGTCGGGTACGGGTAGAGCAATTACAGGTACGGGTTCTATTTTTCTTTAATTCACCAGAAAATCGGAAGGGTTTAGTGAAAAACCCACAAAATTTTAGTGAAAATATACAGCGTTTAGCTGAAATACATGAAGGTTTAAAAAAGAATTACTTGTGAACGTAATGATAATTTGACATCTTCACCCAAAAAACAACAGTTTTTAGCTGGAAAACAAAAAAGGGAGAAAATTTTTAGGTATAAGTCGGGTACGGGTGCAAAGTTCTCGAGTCGGGTCAGGTACGGGTACAAAGTTGTCGGGTCGGATACGGGTACGAAAATATTACCCGAACACATCTCTACATTGAAGATGGCCAAAATAAAATATCTTTGTATATAAAACGTTTAATGAGTTCTTGTTCGTTATATAACGATATATTTTATAATGATATATTTCCACTCATTCGAACATTATCTGACGTAAACATTTTTAACAGTGTAGACAATGAGGACGAGTCATGAGACTGTCCACGTGGGACTAAGGTCTTATTATAGAAAAATTAAATAAGAGGCTGCCGTTAATGTCATTAAAGTTATTTAACTAACTCAACGGTCACCAGAAAAAAAGGGCGATTCACAAAAACAAGATAGGAGGCCACACTTTTCGAAGTGAAAATTTACTCCAGATCCAATCCAAAGTTGATATTATTTATTTATTAGAATAAGAAAGAGACAGGATCGATACTCAAACATATTCTGTTCAAGCATTGAATAATGACTTGTGTTAGCTAAATATGTCAATTTATTAAATGGCCATTGTCATTTCCAAGTATTCATTCAGATTTATTTTAGCATGAACCAGTCGTCAACTGGAATCACAGCTAACGATGCTTGCACTGTTGCCAGACACACCAAAATTAACTTGTAATTGCCATGGAAATGGACATCTGTTGATATCAACTGCGATTTCAAATGTATTTTTTGAACGCTCATTAAATAATTGAATTTTGTTTTCATTACAATTAAGAATTAATTCTATTGTATCCTTTTCAGCAATATCACCATCAAAACCACCATAAGATGGGGAATAAATACCATTCACATAAACTGATGTGTAAAGCATGCCACAACGACCACCCCATCCATTTGCAGATGTTACTAGATAAGAATCTTCTTTCTTTTGTGTTTTGGATGATATAATTCCAAGGAAAATCCAACTGATACCGGACACCCATGCATTACCGTTCAATTTCTCAATTTTAATTCTTATTCGATGAATACCATTTGAATATAATTTTTTACCATAAACTGTTGCATCAGTATTGCTTTTTCCACAATGAACAGCTGTTCGGTTATTTTTTTCCAGCATGATATACCCATAAAATTGACCAAATTCCTCTGATAAAGCTAAAAATAAATGACAAATCCAGATAGAACATCGTTTAGTTACTGTTACAGAAACTAAGCAATTTTTGTCAATTTTACTACGTACCTTTATGAATCAAAGATTGTCTCAATGAGTTTAAACTGAATCATGATTTTGCTTATGACAAATTTTCTGACCTTTTGGAACACTTATGCGTTTCGCATGGCTCAGTCTGTTCAGACAAACGCATTTCTGGGTAGCAGATCGTTTTGTAAACTAATATGAGAAAAGCTGGTGTACACCATAACGTTTAGTCTACCATTCATTCTATTCACTAACATAGACCTTTGTGCCACATCATGTTACTACGTCCGTGATATCGAACAGAGGTCAAATCTTAGTGGACTCTTGAGAGTGTGTGTGTGTCCGTATGAGGGTAAAAGTGTAAAAACTAGGCGTAGTATGAAATTTTTTTTGTTTAATAACCGGTGTCAAAAAACAAATGTTTTTAATAAATAAAGGAGTCCTCTCTTATGAAAAATTGATAACACAATTTACGTAAAAGTATCACATTACTGCTAACATTAAAATAAGTTGTTATTTACTTATTTTGTCGCTTTCGTCATCAGTTGTATCAGTCTCGCTTTCTTCAGATTCCGGGTATGGTAATCGTCCCATGATTACTTCAAACCAGGGAAGTATGGTGTCTTTATGCTTCAAACAACTGAAAATAAATAAATTTAGTACAAAATTATAAATAGTTGCTGTATTTTAGATTTCAAAAAAAAGAGTTGAGCGCATACCCGTTAATAAATTCTTCTTTGGACAATTTGTGATCGACATTAACATCAGCCAGCAACATAATTTCTTTTGCCATTTCTTTGCGCTTATCGTCATTTGATACATTAAACTAATAAAAAGTCTAACTAATTGAAAGCTTTCAATAAAATTATACATTTGAGGAAATGCTCAAAAAACCGTATACTCTCTCAAGATCTTAGTAAGGTAATTCATACAATGTTTCATACTCTATTGTTTTGACAACAGTTGCTTAGCAAAGTTATTTATTTAGTTAAATCTTTTTTGCTAAATCTGTTTCTGTAAGAAACTTTAGTCTACTGACATAGAAGTATTACAACAAGAACAATAATAGTACAGTTACCCATGAGAAGAGCTTTGTAAGTTTTTTTTCTGTTATTTCACCACTATCATTTAAGTCAGCCCTAAATAAAAAAAATTATATTTTTTTGAGAAAACTTACTTATAAGTTAGAAAAAAAACAGATTAAAATAAATTATTACATTTCGAAAGCAAGTTCTAAAAGTTCAACTGGATCAGTATCTATAAAAAGAAGTTTATATTATTATACAAATAACAAATAATATTTACTAATAATTTGCCATATTTTTCCTATTACCTTTCGAACTCAATTTAGCCAAAGTCTAAAAACAAAAACAAAAGATAATTTGTCTTATGAGACAAGAAACTACGGTTAATCTCTTAAAAAGTATATGGCGAATCGATGATTTTAGAATGAAGTGATTGATCTACAAGCAACCGCTTTCGAAGAATTTCTAACGTTCACCACAAAACTTTCAAATTCTCAACTTCTCACAAGTGTCAAAAATAAGTTCAGAAAAAGATTCAAAATCTCTCATGGGAATCGAGGAGTGCAACACTCAGTGCAACAGCAGTTGTTCCATTAAGGGCACCCCGCCCCCGCCTTTTTTGACCCTCCACGAGACGGGGGAAGTCGACGCGGATCGAGATGAAATTTATACCAAAGAGAGGACATCGAAAAAGAACGTCAATATATTTTTGTCGAGAATTTTCTGCCGTGTTTTTCTACAAGTGTACTGGACAACTTCAGTTTTCATCAAGTCACATTACGGCCCGTGGAAAAAGTGGTCCGATTGAGCTCAAAATTTGACCACAGATACTTTAGACTCTATCTCAGGTTCGTTTTTTTTTCTTTTAGAAAAATATACTTTCCTTCTCGAGATATCCGAAAACTACTAAAAGCCCGGTATAAAAACCGGTTTTTTATTTTAAAAACCATCTCACGCCCAAAGTTGAAATCGAAAACGCTTTTAAAAAAAAGGGAACCTGAGATAGGGTCTGCTGTATCTGTGGTGAAGCTTTGAGCTCGATTGTCTTTGAGCTCCACGAAAATTCATCGGAAAATTCTGGAAGAATTCTCATTTTGAAGAGCACACTTCCTTCTATTATGCTAAGTATAAGAAAAAGTTTTGAATATATAGGGAAGGAGAGAAAAATTGAGATTTTCTAGGCACTGAAGTAAAAACTTCATAAGTTTTTCAAGGAAGATCGTGGAGAGATGGCAGTGATCTCATTGTATAGCCCAAACGTTCCCCTACATTAGACTATGCTCAGCTCAAAATGAAAAGTTTTCTGCAAAAAAGAGGGAGGGGTACTCTTAAAGGAATCAAGGTTGTGCTGAATGTGTTCGAGGAATCAGTTTAAAATACTAAACAGATGTAGAGAGGCTTTTGACGGTCAACTTCGTAGATACCAGTGGAACTCTTATAAAAAAAATTATCGTTCAGAAAATGTATCCTGGAGAAAGGACGTTCTGAGACATATTCCGTTAGCCAACTTTACAGATAGAAAGGCAAACTGTATGGAAACAGCGATTGTACACTATGTATAATATTTAAAGATTATTTATCCATTAACCCGATTGTTTCTATTAAACATTAGAGATCTTCAGCGGTGGGGACAGTGACAATGAGGATAGACTGTTCTCAGTTCACATGACTGAAGTCACATTTCTTTTAGACTGTTGTTGTAAAAAGAACTAACATCATACAATTATTTATATGATTTGTATGTAATTTATTTTTGTATAAGAGATTAATTTCAATGATGAAGAAATCCGCAAATATCTTCTGACCGACCCCATCTTTCAGAAAATAATCATAGAAGGGTAAAAATTATTCTAGTTCTCATTCATCTCTCGGACAATAATTGGCTATATTCATAGAAATTTTTGATAGTACATGCATAATTTCGGTAATACTTACGGTTATAAGCTCATCAAAATCGACTATCTCACTCGAATCCGTATCAAATGCTTTCCAAAAATGATCGATCATTTTAATTTTTAATTTTTTGTCTTTGTCCGCCCATTGATGTGTTGACCAAATAGAGCCAAATTCATCATCGAGAAACATAAGAGTAAAATTGTCTTTTGTTAATTTTCCGTCTGGATTGTAAGAAATAAAAATCTAAGAAAAAGAGTAAATAATTTTAATAATTGCTATACTCCTTGCAACAAGATAATCGCTCATAGTTACTGCGTGTATTCGACGAATATCTAAACGGAACAATATATTTTAAAAGAGTGTATAGTCCGATGTTACATAATTCCATTTTTTTAATTTCTGCGCAACTTATCCCGGCTAGGAAGCAACACTTAGCGATTAAATCTATATCAGTGATGGATATTAGCTGGCTCTACTACCCGAACAAATTTGAGCTTGTTTGATCAAGCGGGTCACAAGCTATACTCAAAGTAGAGGCCACTACAGAATTTAAAAAGCTGGGCTTTTTAGTCTGGGTATTTACGTAAGGTATAAAATACTAGCATCAGATTAATTTTAAAATAATCGCTTAGTACCAAATTAAAGCTCGCAGTATGGACTATTATAATCACTATGGACTTTTCTGAACTAGTTCCGCAGCAGAGGAAATCGAAAAAATATTGACCTTCGCACAATTTCATCAGTTTTTTGCTGTCTGTTGTAAGTCAATCAATTTATATTAGAAAATTCATGTTTCTCAAATTTCGATTATTCATCGTAATTTCAATATAGAACTTAAGCTCATTCGTACAGTCAGTATCATACACTAAATTGTTCCGTGCTTGCTCAGCGATGAGACATACGCTCGTTTCAAAATATTAATGAAAGTAGTAAAAGACGTTCCATTATCGAACATGTCTTATTGTCAGAGAAATCTAACACAAGAATGAAGCGGTTCTGAAATCAAGAGTAATTCTGTATGAGGAGAGTTAAATGAGGGTAGTTTTTAAACAAAAAAGATTTCATCACGTTAAGACACATGGATCAGGTGGTCGTCATGAAACGTCTCTTAACACCTTTTAGACAGGAAACGAAAAACGTCGTTTTTATGAAAAGTATGAAAATTCCGCGTCGAAATTTTCATACTTTTCATAAAAACGACTTTTTTCGTCTAGAAGATGTTAACACTCACAGTTTTCGCAGTAGTCTAGAGCACTATTCTCTAGCGTCGAAAAGTATGCTAAATACCAAAATGTGAAAAAAAGTACTTAACACCGCTTATAGTACAGTATAAAATGGCTCTCATATACGAATCGGCAAAAATATTGCGTATTACCTGCTTTGGTTAACATTGTCTTTTTCTGTAACAATTGAACTTGTTCATTTGTGAGGTTTTCTGTTACATGAACTTTTTGATTGTTGTTCTTCTCAAGTGCTGTTGCAGCTACGTTTTGATAAATAAACAGTTAGATTAGGCGATAAGTCGTTCCAGATGTTTTTTAGTACATAATAAAGTCATTTTTTACGAGGGTGGAGACGACAAGGGACAAATTTATTACACCAAATGCTCTAGCTGTGGAAAGCTTTTAGCGAGCAGTTTATCTCCGATCTCTTCCATTAATATACAACTCTATATGAGCACACTCATTTTTGAAATGATTTTAACTGTGGAGTTATGTTAAGAAGAGGGAATAAATTTTTCACAACGCACTCGCACAATTTGACACATTTCTTCTCAACATCTTGCGAACTAGAAGGACAGTTATAACTGAAGTATTTGTAACAACACTATTTTGATTTATTTGCACAGAAAATTGCACTAAACTGTTAATTCATTTACATATCTGAGAAAACTTCAGAAATGCGTAATTCTATGAAGAAAGGTCGTGGAGCATGGGAGAATAGTGTTGTATATGTCTCTTTATTCATCTTGCTTTCCCTTTTCCGAAACAATGGAAAATACAAAAGACAGGCTAATCAGATACGTGTACTTTCCATATTCGAAACGCTCATGTTAGAGAAAATAAATACAGAAATATATTTGATGCACTATAGTGTCTATAGACGCAAAAGAATGTGAATAAAGTAAATAAGAACATGTTGGCAAAACTACTTTTATCTTATGGTAGTTAAACTTAATATATATATGAGCTGAAGACCTTAATATTTTTGTGTTATTAGCAAAACACTAGCGCAACAAAAGAAAAAATTCTACCCGTTAATTCTTTTGTTTTCATTGATAGACAAAAGATCCTATTTCTGGGACAAAAATATCGGTGCTAAATAGTACTATAGACAATACTTCTATGATACTGACGAGGGAACCTTTCGAGGTGATTAAACGCTTTTTGCTCTGAATCTAGTGGGTTATAGGCTATCGACCATGCTGATTATGAATATGATCATGGGGATTGTCTTAGCCCTTCGAAGGCCTGATTTTCTAGAAAACCAATTTTCTGAAACTCTAAAATATAGCCCGAACTTTTCTTAATGAGGCATGATTATAGCCCGTACATTTCTAATTGAAATGAGCCATCTTCCAGCTTTATACGACCTTTCTTTGCAAAGTTATAGAATTTACAGGGAAAGCCCTAAATGTTCATTGTCAGCTTAAAGCTACAGGAATAAGAAGAAATTAATTTAGGGCTTTTCTTGTAAATTCTATAACTTTGCAAAGAAAGGTTGTATAAAGCTGGAAGATGGCTCATTTCAATTAGAAATGTACGGGCTGTAATCATGCCTCATTAAGAAAAGTTCGGGCTATATTTTAGAGTTTCTGAAAAACTGGTTTTCTAGGAAACCAGGTCTTCGAAGGGCTAAGGCAATCCCCATGGGCATATTCGTAATTAGCATGGTCGATAGCCTATAACCCACCAGATTCCAAGCAAAAAGTATTTAATCACCTCGAAAGGTTCCCTTGTGAGGTTATTGATGATGATTATTAGGTTCCCTTGTGAGGTTATTATTGATGATGATCGGTGACAACGATGATCACTAACAACCAGAATGGATCGCGCGGATAATGGACACTTCGATTCAAGAGCTCTCTTTCATTATACAACATTATCTCGCTCCCTATTGGGACGCAAATTGTTTTAATGATCAACAACATCCATCACTTAACACCCAACAAGATGATCTTAATTATTTTAAAATTAATTATTGATATAATTATCCTCACATCAGACACAACCGCATTACAAAAGAACTATATTTGATCATAATCTATTATACAAACCCATACAGTACTCCAATAAAAAACTGCACATTAGGGATGTTCGTTTCTCAGTTTCCACCGAGGAAAGGTAGCCAAATATCCACACGCTTTTATGTTGAAATAAACTTTTTCTCTAGCAACTATTGACTGTGATCATGAATCCGATACTTGTTTCTATTGCTAGGCCCTTTCAAGATGAATCTGTGGAAACTGGATCTTTGAAGATCCATCACGAACTCTCAGCTGAACATACTCTGACACTACCGGATCATAGAGGACATCGAGTTACTTTTGAAAAAATATTCAGAATCAGTGAGCAAGTTTTTGCGGAGTTAGATTAAATTTACTTTCTAATTTAGTTGAAAAACTCCCAGTTTTTCAGCTTTTTGCTGTAAAATTCATATGAAAAGTATATTAATTCCTGTGAATAATATCAAAAATTCAAAATCTATACACATCCATCGTATAAGCCCATTATTACCAACATCAATAACTAATGCATTTGATTTTATTGGAACTGTTATTCTTGCTACATTTCCTTTGCCAACAAATAAACATTCTGAACTCTTGTCACTAAGATTTTTGAGTATGACAGGCCTAAGACTATCCGTAATAATAAATCATTGAAATTAAATTTTGAATTTAAAAGAAAACCTTGCTTGTATTTCAACAGTATTTCAAGGATTTGTCGGGTTTTCATTGTCGTTAACAAACGCCGCATACGTGATCTGAGTGAAATTCCATTTAATAACACATTTGGCAATTTTACTCGAATAAAAAAAAAGAGTCATGTAAACTTTTTCAGCGTAGGATACCCCTCAAGGATTCTGGGAAAAAACTGTCCACTATTAAATCGTCAGAAAACGATAATATAGGTCTCTTCCTCCCTCCCCCGACACTGTTTCAACCTTTTAATATATTCAAACAACATTTTCTTGATCAAATTCCATAAGCTTCTTCTAAGATTGACTTCGGAATTTGCAGAGAAAGTGATGTTTAAAGTGATTGATAGTACACGGAATAATAGCTAATAACAGCAATTAAAGAAACGAAAACCAGCTTCAACTAAACGAAGTAATTCTACATTATGTGGTAAGCTGAAGAAAATTATAACCGGCATTGGATCAACATTCATAGCCCATCTAGATGAAGAACTAGTTAACACAACTAAATGGATATAACTATATCTGTACAATAGCAGTTCACCTACAGACTACGACTTTGTGAAATGTTTCAATCGAACATTGTCATCACTGATACCGATGCACGTTAATCAATCATACGCCAATTTGAATTAGCAATTACAGTGGTGTGTATTCACTAATAATACGACTCGACAAAAAACAACAGGTTATGAATCATTTAAACTACTTTTTGGACATGATCTGTGCTACCCTATGGATTACTTTGTCAATCACTGGGTGACATTCCTATGGATGTTCACAAATATTTATTGTAATTGAAATATATATTAGAACATTCTTCAATATGAACTCAACAAGAAAATAATATCGCTTAAACCATTTACTAGACCAATACTTGATCATCTAATCAATTATTTATCAGCCTAGTAACAAAGTATTTTTACGTATCAGAATAAGAACAGTTAAAAAAGTAGAAAAATTAATCTTCGAGTATGATGATTTCTACCCAATTATTCAGTAAACATTTCCGTTGTTCGTGTTGAAAATTCAAAGCTAATCTATTTGCGATCACGGAGGATGTGAGAAAAAAGAAATAACTGATGGCACAGCTAAACAATAAACAACTTATAAAATTGTAAAGTAATTTGAATATTGAATCATACTACTAAAAACTATATCGTTAACACAATCTTCGAACATTTACTTTATAAGAAAATGAAAGACTGAATATATGTTCGTATTCTCTTATGTGAGGTTGATATAGATTTTTCAGAACATTTCTTTATTAATTATCACATGTATTAATATTTGTAAGGTACTTATAATAGAAGTGACCTTTATTCTGCTTTTCTTTTTTTTTCTCTGCTAGGTTTCTCCCATTTTCTTTTGGCGTTTCTTTTTACAATATTTTTCGTTTCGATTTCTTCTTTTCTTTTAGCGAACTCAATGGAAACCGTTGTTTCGATAAATGACGTATGATCGGCTCAATAAAAAGTTGTGTATCCCTATTATCTCGTTTTACAAGTTGTTATAATTACTCCGTTGAACAGCGTGATGGTCTCTTACGAGATGAAAATCGTTTTTTGTGCCCAACATCGCGGTTAGACTCAGATACTGTATGTTAATGTTGACGCTTGTGAAAAACACATGGACAATATTTATTTACTTCTTACATCTTAAGAGTCATTGAATGTAAGGGACGCCGGAAGTGCTCAAGTGACTTTCTCTAAACTTAGTTATGTTTACTTTGCTGAAAAATATAGCTTATTTCTATCTCTTTACCGCAAATCGCAGCTTTCCAAGTCAATTTGTCATGGAGATATTCAACTTTTAAAATGTGTCGCATTTTTTTTAATGGTGCATTAGTATAAACTAGTGATATTAGTGTCGATCGCATATGCAAACCATGTTATCAATAATCACGCAAACTTGATCACGTATACAACTAATATCGGGCTGTACAGTGACATAACCCTGCACTCTAGATGTTGCTTTATGTAGAAATTATGTCGAACCGTTCGTTTCCTCTTTACCTTGTTGTTGTTGATTGCGTTCGACTGGTGTTGATTCTGTTAAATTTTTATTTTGATACGTATAGTAATCATCTGTTATTTTCGTTCCGTTGCGATAAAAATGTATTTTGACACCCTGACTTTTATCTATATTTGTATGAACATCATAATCAACAAGAAAAAATTCTGGTTCAGTTGTATCTGATGACATAGATTGGTTTTTTGTATTTTTCATAATTTTCATAAAATATTCATATTGTTGGATCCATTTATCGCGTTCATTTTCTTGTAGTTCGTCACTAATGTATATTATGTAAATATCAGTATTATCATGCTCTTGTGGTAAAAGTTCGGGTGATACAGATTCTTTTACTAAACTAATACCTTTTTTTTGAAATAATGATAATAATTGACATTTTTCTTTTAGTTTTATATTTTCCCTAAAATATTCATCAATTCCTTGTGATGAGCAGCAGCTTCGTCGAAAACGTTCGAGTACTATTTGTATTTCATTTTCATTAGCTGTATTTGATCGAAGTTTTGTTAAATTAGTTTTTATTTCGTCTTGAAATTTACAGTATTCATTTATTAATTCTAAATTTTTGTTCTTAACTCCATTATAGTACTTTCGTGGTATATGTTCTTTAAATGATTCTACTAATGTAAAAAAATCATTAAATCGACGTTTAGCTATTAAAAATTCGTCAATATCATGTTCTATTTGCTGTATTATAGCTCCATTTATTTCTTTTAGTATTATATCAGTTTTGATAGGTTGTTTGAATGCTCGAGCAACTTGTTGCAATGGATATAAGATATATTCAAGTTGCTTACCTATAAAGAAAAATGTTTAAAAGACATTTAGCGATATTTTATGTGTTTACTATCAGAGCGTTCGGAGGACTCCATCAGATATAATCGTGCTATATGAGCGAATGATCTAGCCACTGTAACATTCGTTTGCCATATACAACAGAATAAATACAAATCTGTTTTTCTGAGTGGATTTCTTTTAAATTTTTTTATCTTCTCTATCTAACCTAGCGCCACTAACACTTCTTATATATTACGTCTAAACCTGTTACTGGTCACAAGAGAACATATTTTTACTGAAGCTAATATTGATTTTAGTGTCATCCGTTGCTCAGGCTATTTACAGGAACAATATTATACCACCGATCGAAAACACAAACGTCTACGGATTGCAAGTTTATTTTTTCAATTCAGCTCAAAATGAACGACAAAACTTTAGGGAGTTTGTTTTGTCAGCGATACTAGCCAAAAGGATTCCGAATAATTATTTAAATTGCTGAAATATTTTCTATCCTATGAGACATCTAAAAAAAGTTCTCGCTAATTTTTAAAAACTATGATGGCTAGAAAACCTATTCGTACTTTCAGGTACCTTGCAATTTGTCTGGTGATTTTGTTAGTTTTGACGGGTTAAGGTCTTTCGTATAATTAAGCTATTTAGGAAAAAGTCGAATAGAAAAGATGACTACGTCTGAGGCTTTTGTCAATGTCACATTTCTTATGTACATTACTGCTCTAGTTTCAAATTTATTTATAATATTATTCTTCATTTGCATAATGCTTCTGCTGTGGAAGATAAATAAAATATAAATATTTGACTATTTAGGGCTAGCACTTACCTTTTCCTTCATTTGATCGTTCAATAAAAGCTGGAATATTTTTCATGACATGAAGAACACCGTCGACGGATTGTGGAAGATGTTCAGTGTTTATAACAACATCTCCATAGAATTGTACCGAAAATGACGCTTGTTTTGATATTTCTCCTTCACCTATCTGAGTATTTCCATCAATTCCTATCGAACCAACTGGACCAAGGGCTTTTGTCAATTGTGCTTTCAAGCGCCCTTCAATATCTCTAGCATTGTTTTTATCTTTGAGTTGTTGTTCGAATGTAACACAACAATTAGCACCCCATTTAATGCCAACAACAACGTGTGTTGCATTTGAACTTTGAAATGCTTCATATGACATATGTTGGCTTAATATACTATGGTTAATTATTAACTGTTCTTCTTTTGTTGATATATGATAAATGAGTGCTGCTTTGAATGTTTTATCTGTTTGCTTTTCATTAGTTATATATTTTCCAGAACCTTCAAGCTCAACTAGTCCTGATAGTATACTAACCTTGAGTGCAGCTTCAACATTTAATTTACTAAACTTTTCGGCATACGTATCTTTTTCAACATAATCATAATGTGTATGTGGTATGTCAACAGTTTTAATAGCAACATCTGGTATTGTATCATTGAAAAGGGTTTCACGAGAGAACCGATCAGTTCGAACATCATATAATGAGCCAAGAAATGCTACTCTACCCAATGCTTTACGATTTATTGTCACAAATGAATCGTCCATGGATGAACTATCTAGAGCAAACATGTAATAGATATTAGCAAAAACCATAGCTACACTAATTCTGAATGTATGAAACATCTAATTCTATGTGGTCAAAATATTTCACTGAGTTATTGGCCTCTCCCATATACAGAAAAGTATGAGAATTGATTGACTAATTAAGATGTACTCTCGTACACACTTCTGCCTCACTTGTACTCTGTTCTATTACGCGAATGGGAAAGAATTTGTTTTTTCTAACAGTTTATTTCATCATTTGATAGATTGCCGCTATATTCTCAGTTCAGGAGGCGAGGATCTGTAAGAAGCAGAAATGGGCCAGCTTTCAGATAAATCTTATATTCACAGATCACATGTACTTGGTGTCTGGGATTAAAACTAGCATATTTTTCGACGTTAAAAAATGCTTTCAAATGCCCGTTGGAAAAAATTTCGTATCCAAAACTACTCTCTCGTTAGATGAATCCTACCTAAAGAATTTTTATTATTTCATCTTGTTTGCTCAAGATAAACAAACAGTGCGGGATTACAGTTATCGCGATCGGTTTATAACTTTTTTGATATGTTTCGTTCAGGGTCTGAGCACTTACATTGTGACGTTACATATAAAATGTTCGGTTTCACACTTAATTATCGTATTCCGCAAATATGAAATTACTCCATGATACTATTAAACAATTGAAACCAAAAATTCCACATCCAAAACTATTCTCTCGTTAGATAAACTTTACCTAAAGTATTTTTATTATTTCATCTTGTTTGCTCAAGATAAACTTCAACTATTGTATGTCCCTTGATATAGAATTTCACGGATTTCAACATATTATATAAAGCATTGAGACGAAAATGTAATTGGACACTCCAACATTAGAAATAAATGTCAGCAGCGCGCATTTTATTCGAGCTTTCTTTCATTGTTTTCACTGGCATTTCGTTGAAGAGAGATATTTTGTGAATATTCAATTGAGAGACTGTTCCATCTCTCTTGTGTACAATACAAAAACGATTACCCGACGTTCGAGCGACTGACATTTGAGTGATTCGACATTTCCGCGAACGACATGAAACCTAAGAGAAGTTATGTGGTGAATAGTCATTATACCATTCAGTCACAGATATACAGTTTCGTATGACGAAAATATGTTTTGTGTGAAACTACTTTTCGAACTCACTCTCACACTGTCCACACATACCTCCCACGACACACTGCCAAAAATACCCAAATGTGCACTACGAAAAATTCGTGGAAGAGTCGAGTTCTGTTTGCGGTAATGTCGTTCGTTCAAGTGTCGGTCGCTCAAATGTCGGAGCCGCTCAACCGTCGGTTGACGTACAAAAACGTTTAGGTTTCGACGGGTGAAATGCGAGTAAACTGCATGAATATCTGTTGACTATAATCACTTTTATTTCAAATCACTTTAACAACCAAGAGGACATATATATAGGCTAGAATACAACTCTCGGTTGAATATTCACGAAATATCTTTCTTCAACAAAATCCCAAGCGTCAAAAAAAAATCTAGTATCGCTCGATCCATCTAGATTACTAGATTTTTACTCGATTGCAATTATTGAGTGCCGACAGTGAAAATCTAGTAATCAGGCGATTGCTACATTTCATCTAGTTGAAACTATCAACCTATCGCTCGATAATCGATCGACTTAACTACTGTTAGTTGCACATGCAGATCCATCTAGTTAAAAGTTCCTTTTTCGACTAGTAATCTAGCTGACAACTAGTCGTGTATCGCCCGATTACAGACGAAATGTATCTAGATTTTTACCATAGGTGATGTTTGTTTGGGAATGCAAGTGAAAACGATGAAAGAAAGCTCGAATAAAATGCGCGCTGCTGACATTTATTTCTAATGTTGGAGTATCCAATTGCATTTTCGTCTCAATGCTTTATATAATATGTTGAAGTCCGTGAAATTCTATATCAAGGGACATACAATAGTTGAAGTTTATCTTGAACAACCACAAAACATCATATTTGCGGAATACGATAATTAAGTGTGAAACCGAACATTTTATATGTAACATCACGATGTAAGTACTCATACCCTGAACGAAACATATCAAAAAAGTTATAACCCGGTCGCGATAACTGTAATTCGGCATATCTTGTTTTACTTTTCAGGACACATCAGTCTAGATGTTCTAATTAGCTCAATTAGTAGAGAATTGAAAGAGCTGTAAAATAGAATATTTTCAAAAAATTATTTTCTAGTTATACACGGTATGCTCTATTCTCGGAAATTCGTGACAGAATGAATCATGTCATGTTTTTGTTGGTCCCAAGGTTATAGAAAAATTCTAAAATCTCTTAAACAACCAAGAGCATCGAATTCGCAATTAAAAAACGTCCTCGAAGGTGACGCTTTGAAAAGACCCTCTCTTTGCACCGCTTTCGGGACGACTGTCATAAATTCTGAAGTATTACAAATCTGTGAGAGGACTCATTTTTAAGGTAACATTTTGCTGTACAGATGTGCAGGTCGGTCGGTACCCAGACATACGAATCATTACAATTGCGATCGATAAAGCTGGAGTGGGACTGCATGTATATTTTCTCATAAATAGTCTTCAACATTTACATGTAGTTTTAGATAAAGTTCCAAATCGAACGTTTTGCCCTAAAAGTTACGTCAGTTCTTGGCTATTTGACTCTCGAACGCGCGGTGGTATTGTGCAGGCTACAATATAATTTTGGCACTTCATTAGTTGAAACAGCTAGCAGGTTGTGACTTCTTTTTCGCTCTTCGTATTTCATCGGTCAAAATGGTGAAGTACGGTAACTGCGTCATTCGCTGTGCAAAGTGCGGAAAAGGTTGTTCCGTCGAAACCCAGATTCAGCGAAATGCTGGCTGGGATTATGACATCGTTAAGCATTCGTGCCCACATGGTTCAATGAAGATCGACATGTTCACCCGGAATACCTACACTCCTTGGGGCCCTCCCGATGAAATTGAATTTTATGCTGAATTCACTCCAGTCGCTGGTAGTGGTACAAATAAGATCGGGTTGCGAATTAATCGGACCAGCACGGATATTGGTGATGAATCCCATTCTGACGACGATGTATTGATAGAAGCCCATTTGTCGAGCAACACATTTACTGACTATGTTAGTAATACTCTTCTAGGTGTAGCTGGAGCTACTCTTGCAGGACCGTTTGGTGCTGTTCTGGCGCCGATGATATCGACCGGCAACTACTACGAGACTCGAACTTGGTAGACATGGTTATCTTCACCGTCTCATTTGTACTTTAATCAATAAATTATGTCCATGGTCTCAAAGCATCTATCCACTTAGGACAACAAAAGTAAGGAATTGTACATCGATTGTAATTATTCTAATCATCGGAAAATCGAGTGACACGAAGCGGCATAAGTGTGCTAGTAATGAGTCACCGATACAGAGAGAAAAGGATATCTACAAGACACATAGTAATCAAGTGAACGATAGATCTTGTGTCGGTCAGTTTATGAATATTTCCGAAAGAAAAGAAACTATCGTGATTGTACGTGTCATGATTATGTTTCTGATGAAGTTACCCTTCAGAGAAAGAAAACGGGTACTTGTATACGATTTTTGGCGGTTTAAGAAAAGTAGAAATGCTTTCTTTTTCAGTCGTAATTTTGCATATGTTCTTATTCTTTTTTTCGATTTTTGAAGTCATGTTTGAAAAGAGCAGGAAAATTTGCATTGGTCTCAAAAAAACGTTCGTGAAAAGAGCGTGAAAATTTCAAACATGTTCTTAGAAATAGAAAAAAAGATTAAGAACATATACAAAATCAGGGAGTTCTGTCAATTTACCGTGTTTTTCAGTATCTTTTCCATATTATAACATCCAGTTGTCGCCCATGATGTCGATAATTCTGGGCTGTTTATCGATCCCCTCAATGTCCCATGGTGTTCAGCAAAACTATTGGACACCGTGGTTTGGAGCGCTGATTCCACTCGACGCGTAGAGCCCATTCTGCCATTGACTGGGCTTTTTTGTTTTTTTAATTTGTTTCTTTCATAATATTTCAACATGAAAACATACAACGTAATTTAATCGAATAATAACTATATTGGAAAATTAACGTAATCAAAAGAACAACAAATTTACGTCGAATTAGTCGACGTGAAAGTCGTGGTTGAAACGTCTACAATCGGTGGAAAGAGGACTAAGTCGCAGGTTGTTGCGCTCACATTGCGACAGTAATTTATACTTAACATTTGCTTATCACAATCCGGGGCATCTTCACCAACGTTCATCTAAATACTGTGCATCACTAACAGATGACGTATGATGAAATGGTCAAAAAGTCGTCTTTTCCGCAGGTTTTTGGATCTTGGTCAAATATTTGAACAAAAATTAGTATTTTGGAGCTCATTTCACACGGTTCGATCACAACCAAAATGTGCCCTCAAGCCATGTCAGTTTGTAGAGGACGCCTGATTACATATATCTTTCCTTTTTTTCGATGAACTGATAACTATTCACAGAGTTCTTAATAAATTAATTTAAATTTTAATTAAACTTTCAATTTCGATGGTATTGTAAACTAATTCATTAATTTTATTGCATTGTCCGATCACCGTCACGGTAGAGTTATTTTGCAGACAATCTTTGGTTGTATATAATATGCTTTAAAATCTTTCAAAAGTTTTCGAACGACCTAGACTTTTTAAATGAACCATTGTAAAAAGTGCGTTTTTTCTACCATTAAGCATTAAAGAAATAATATAAATTAATATAAATTAATTCTAAGCACATATTTGTCTGCGCAAAATCGTTCTCTTCTTATTTGACAGAAATATATTTGCTTCCTTTCTAGAGAGAAGCAGTATGTGACAAATATGCAGGACATTAGGCGTGCTACTTTACTT